GTGCCCAGAGAATCTGTGCTTCGTCGGAATTATTAATATAAAATGTCAAAACAATAGTGTTTATATGAACTATGGAATACCACTTGAGAAGACGAAACTGTTCATTTAATCATGAAGGGAGAGAGTCAGTAATCAGGTTTGTATTCTAAGTTTACCAACAGCTTGGGTTTTCATCACTACTGCCGTGTTTATTTAAGCGTGTGTTTGTGTAAAAACAGTCAAAGTTGAAGTTGGAATTGGAGGTGGGTGAAGTGAGTTGACAAGCAGTCAACCAGAGAGAGAGAGAGAGAGAAAGAGAGAGGGGGATAGATAGGCAGTGAGAGTGAAAACATCTGCTTGTGTTGTCATAAGGGAGGAAGTGAACTCAAGTTATCTGCAATATTGGCACAATACTGCCAGTGAACCCTCTTATATCCTGATAGTGAAATAATTACGGCAACTACTAAGAACAAAAAGTGTGAACATGAAAACTACTTCTCTCCTTCAGAATTATTTGCAATATTTGTTTTTTTTTTTTTTCTGGACTTTATTTCATATACACTACTTTCTTGTAAAAGAAGCATTATTCTTTTTGTACCAATTTCTTCCTTATATACATATACCTAAATTTTTCTTTGGACTTGAATCAACTTGTTCATATTTGATTTTTCTGCTTAGCCCAATTCTCACCCTAAGGAACTAGCAGGAAGACCAGCTGAGAATCTTTCAGGATCTACAATTTGCTAATTGCTCTCCAGGATCAAAAAAATCACAACGTGGCTGCAAAGTGGAATCAAATCGACATTTTGAACCGAAGACTTTGATTGAACCTGTAATAGACAGGACAGGGCCAGTGGCTGGTCTTGTAGAATACATCGATCCAGTGGGGTCAGGATAGATGTTACATAACCACTCAGCCACATGCCCATATTCAACAGCAGCTAGAATAAAAAAAAGCATTGAAAAAGTTCACTTGAATTTTTTTTAACATTATTTTTATGTAGTTTGAGCACAAACTGATATTTACTTCTTCCTAGAGAATTTGACAGCAAAGTCATTGGTAAAGAAACAAAGTGCATGTTTCATATTTGGAACTAAGCATAGGTTGTCAATGCTTGATTTTTTTTTTTTTTTACAAAAAGATGGGACATTTAAAAGGTTATTTGCTAATTTCTGAGCATTCCCATCTTTGAGCAGGCCAATTTGTATTTCTTCAACACTCACAGAAACAGCTTGTGGTTTGTCAGCATAGAAGTTGATATGCTGCTAAGCAAAACCAACCAAGCAAATTGTGGTTTATACTGCAGATCTACAGAGCAGACTTTAGTTACAGTTTCTGTGTAAAAGAGCACATAATCTGGAATGATTAGTAACTGACTTGCCAGTATGCTCAAACCTTCAGTCAAATTATTATTAAGCAGTCACTTCCTTAAGAAATCAACCATAAGATTTGAACCTGATTTGATTTGTTTGTTTCATGGCATATCAACTCCTAATGGGTCATTTAATACTGAAATTTAATTTTCTTGGGAGCTTGGAAGTAATAAAAATATGTCATTTTGCCTTCACAGTAGATGATACTTAGCTTTTGTGCATATACATATTTGTGTGGACATAATTACTAGAGATGATATGTGTATTTTATGTTGTAGTTTTGTTGAAGTTATATTTTGGAATACAGTTTGATTTCTTTAAGAAATTGTTGGATATTATATGGATTAATGTCATAAAAGGGTTCTTTCATGTTGATTAATGTATTGTTTGTAATTTTACTATAAATAGGTATTGTCAGTAATTTTTTGGTATAAAAATGTATTGCTGGTATTTTTACTATAAAATGTATTTTTATACTTTCATACTGTTTAGTTTTTGTTTGGTGGGGAGGTTCACTATTTGCTCATAGCTGGGACCCTAACAGGTACTACAACACTCCTCGAAACCTCCAAACTCCCAATCAAAGGCCTTGCTGCTAAATGTAGTTTATTGTCATACCCAAGATTATTGAACCTGGGTCTCATGATCAGAATGCTACTATTCTAACCACTTGATCATATTCTACATCTGTGACATTCTCATAATATGGCTGTAAGATTTTTCTTAGAAACATCATAAACAAAATGGAATTGGATGGAATTAAATTGTAAACCATAATTGTTCAGAAATTCTTTCACTTATTTATACAAATTATTCACGTTCAGACTATTATTCTCATCTTTCTTGTTAACACAATGTTTCAGCTGTTGCACCCTCCAGCCTTCATCAGGCATGTATCGATCAGGGTAACATACATGGAATTTTGAACTGAACCTCTTATTTAATCTTTATTAAACTCAACTCCATGCCCTGTTTCCACTGAGTCCAAGTACACACTGTCAGCCCAGGACTGAACTCACAATTACTGTATCACTAAATTCATGAACCAATGCTAGCATTGGACAATTCTCTGTGAAGAACTTGGAGCCTTAAACCTAACCAGCATGCTGATGAGTGCTGCCACATGTCATGCCAGTACCAAGACAAGTCTTGTTGTCATTTTTCTCTCTTTCTTTATTTGTCTATTGTTCTGTGGGACAATTCTCTGAAGAACTTGGAGCCTTAAACCTAACCTGCCTACTGATGAGTGCTGCTGCTGCTTATCATACTTGACTTCACTCACTGAAGTTTTTTCTCTTTTGTTACAGCTGCTGCTGTTGTCATTCATTTGTAGGTTAATCAGCTCGATATACACCTGATGAAGGCACAATGACCGAAACATTGTGGTAACAACACAAAGCTGAGGACAATAGTTTGAATGTAAATAATGATAACTCCTCATCGCAGAAATTCAGACAGGAATTCTTTCACTTGTTTAAAACTAGACTGAATTTTTTTAATATTTCTGATTGGGAATCAATAAAAGAATATTCATAATGTGTCGATTTGGTTTTATCATACAGCATCCTTTAGATTTATTTACAATGTCCTCATATTTGTTGTTATACATTTCAACCACTGAGCTCTCCAGCCTTCTTCAGGTATTTGCCAATCCAAGTTACCATCAGGGAATTTTGAACTGAACCCTTAGTTAATCTATAGGGGTAGACTCTTCTCATTCCACTGTCCATGTCGAGATGTATCATGCTTAAAGGATTAAAGCCTTGGTTTGTGAATTTGGTGGATAGTACTTGTGAGTTCAATCCCTGGGCTGAGTAGTACAGACTTAGACTCAGTGGGGAAACATAACTAGTAGTACTAAAGAAGAACAAAATGAGATATCCCTACAGTGGAATAAGAACAATCTACTGTAGATGAAATAAAGGGCTCAGTTCAAAATTCCCTGTAGGTTACCTAGATTGATAGACAACAGGGAAGACTAACGGGCACAATGGCTGAAACATTATGATAGTAATAAACATGGCAACATTAGTCTGACTCCTCATCCCTGAAATTCAAACAGAAATTACCTTTTACATTTGTAAAATATTTAAGTATATTCAACTGGCTTCTCCACCAAAGCTGGATGTGACACAAGGTCATTTTTAATGTGAGGGTCATCATACACATACTTATGTATATGTGCCAAGGACAACATTGATTTTTGCCCAGTCTCAGGGACCATTGATGTGCTGGCATCAGTATTCTATTGATCCAACATCTTTAGTGTGATGGGGAAGGTGCTGTTGCGGGGTTAAAATCCCCAGGGCTGAGCAACTTCTTCCACCCCAAAATGAGGAAAATCATAGCTCCACTTACAACATAGGGATGTTAACCATGCCCCAGTAACCATCATTGGATAATGGTTAACTTGTAGCGTCACCAATTGTAGAGGGTTTTGCGTGCGGGATTCAATTGCGGCGACACTACGTTTACATTAACCATACTTCCAACGTACAAGATTCAAGTAACAACAACAACAACAACAACTCCAATTTGTTAACCAACAAATATATATCAAAATAAAATACAACGAACATGAAATAATTTGTTATTCACAAAGTAGATTAAAGAGAAAGAAGTTGTTCCCCTTTATCTGTATATTGATTTGTAATCAACCGTTTGAAGAAAGTTCTTGTGTGAGATAAATGTTCTGAAATAATTGTTAGAACAAAGTTTGCACGTGAAGAATGAATAACACAAAGAATACAATTGTGTTGTGAATAAACTGGTTTGAATCAACAAAGTTCTGGTTGATTGTGCTTGGTGAAAGTTACAGAGAGAAAATGTAAATTTGTAGTTATGAAATTCTGTGTGTATGTGTGTTGAGCAAGATCGTGGATTTGTGTTGACGGCTGGAATCTTACAGGATCTTACTGGCGACTTACAAAAAGTTGCCCCTTTCAAGGAAAAAAGGTAGGCTGCCACGGAACTGCAGTAAAACTCGATCTTACATTAAAAAGATGTGATTGGTTAAGAATTAACCCATCATTACACTCGTACTAAACAGAATAGGTAAGTATGCCCAGAACCAAAAGATTAAAAGGGACGACTGCGATGGCATTTAATTGTCCTATACAAAGGTAGCAGTAATTTATTAGCCAATTGCAGGCGAATAAAATGTGGGCGTGGAAAACAGAAAATCGCTATAAACTCCATGAGCCATGTAAATATGTAAGGTACTGACTAAAGGAAGAATCTTTTTTTTTTAATAAATATTTTATTAGGTCAACCATCTTAATTAGCTATGTATTTTGAGTATTAATAAAAAAAATCATAAAAAAAAACGTAAAAATAATATTTTGATCCTGACAGAATTGTTTATTTTTCTGGCTTTCCATTTTAATTTAAATGGAAAAAAAAAATAGTAAATTTTGCTTCCTTATTTTTATTCAATAAAATTGCTTATTATCTTGGTCAACAACCGATAAGTAATTTTACTGAATTATTAAACGCGAAATAAATATATTTAAAAATGCAAACTGAATTTCAAAGAGTAACTAAAGACCCCACCCCAACAGCCAAAAAGAAAAAAAGAAAAGTTTTTTCATTTTCGAACGTATGTGACTAAAGGGAGTTAACTAGCAAAAGTGTTGTTATTTACAATCATGGCCGGCGATTTCTCCTCGTCGTTTGATTCCTTTTTTAGTTCTTGGTACCCGATCATTTTAGCCTTGATCGGGGGCTTTGGATTTGCTTTCAGGTAATTTGAGACACTTTATTTTAAAATATTGAAAAACCGGTGAGGATTGAGGTTTTAATATGTAATATTTGAAATGTTCTTTTCCATTAAAAATGTAATCTCTATTGTTTAAATTTTTGAAAATCAATATTTGTCTATCCCCCCCCCTGTTACTTCTACACAAAATACAAATAAATATATTTATTTAAATAGGGTGTTTGTAATCGATTTTTGTTTTTACTATATACAGCCCTAAATAGAATCACTGATTTTAAGTAGTTGTGAATAAATGCTCTTTGATGGAAATTTCTAATCAGCAGTTTTTAAAATAAATGGATAAACATTTAAACATGCACATAGCGATTTTCTTAATTTCATTTCATGCATTTAATGAGAAAAAAAAGTGATTTAAGTTTTTTTGAACGCAGTATGGTGGTTGGTAGCCGTTCGGGCGGGTCTGAGTATGACAAAACTTTTTGATCTATTCGGGTTTCCGCACACAACCATCTGTGAGGTTTACAGAGAATTGTCTGAAAAAAAGAAAAATCCAATGAGCAACAATACCGCGGGTAGAAATCCCTTGTTGGCAAAAGATTTCGGAGGAGAATGGCCAGAATGGTTCTATGATAGCAAGGCAATAATAATTCAATTTAACAGAACTACTCTTTACGACGGAAGTACAGAAGAAGACTAAGAGCATCTTTTTTTTTTTTAAACACAACACGTCGAACCTAGAAGATGGGTTACCGTAAAACCATGCCAGCCTTACTAGGATTCTGTTCATAATTTTGAAGGTTTTAAATTTATTGACTCCGTGTTAGAGTCAACGAGCTAAATTACTCCAAACAGCCACGGTTCCGATTTTCAAATAATTGAACTGGTTTTTTTTTTTTTTTTTTAAAAAAGAAGGGTAACAACACATTCAACAAATAATTTGTGTACTTACTAACTAAATGTTACAATTTTTACACAAATTAAATTTGTTGATTGAATGTGTTACTACACTTTACACACAAAAAAATCCTATGTACTTTACTTTATATAACATTGTAGGTGTAGGACCTAAGATTTTTTATATTGGTAGGTTTTTGTTAAAAGAAAAAAATAGTTCAAACAAATTTGAGGTCACAATTAATACGTTGGGCACACAACAGATAGACATGAGCAGAGTTTACAAAAAAAAAAAAACGAAAATTTTATTCTTAACACACACACAAAAAATGTTTTGTGTGCCAAATGATGGCCAAAAAATTATCAATGAAATGGAAATGTGTCTTTTTAGTTTTTAAAATTGACCACATGTCTCAATTTATTGTTATGGTGCACCTATCCACTGGTGGCCACATCAGTAGGACAACGAATCGTGTGACAAATAAAAAAATATTGGTAGATTGGTTCTTGGAACACAGCAATGAGTTTTTCTGTGTTAAAGCGGCCTCCACAGTCAATGGATCTCTAAGTTCGACAGAGCACCTTTATTTTTGGCAAATATGGTGGAAAGGGGATCTGAATCATGGATTTGCAGCTAAAACCAAAACCAATCTAGAAAAGTGCAGAACGCCATACATGGATCCAAATTTCGAAAGAATGCTTTCAGAACATTGTTGAATCCATGCCAAGAAAACTCGAAAAAGTTCAAAAAGTTACGGGTCTAACCCGGTACTAGAAGAAGATTAAGAATATATACAACCTAAAAGTGACTGGTGAAATTTTCTTCTAATTTTTAAGTTGGATTTTTAATCTTTGTTTCTAAAGCTGGGACAGGGAACTGAATTTGTTCTTTATTACGGGAAGCATTTAAAATTGTAACTTTTATATAATATTTTTCTTTGTTTTTAAAATTTAAAACATAACGACAAAAATTTTGTACAATTTTTGGCACTATCGAAGGAAAAAATAGGATTTTTTTGTGACTGATTTTTGTTGATTAGCATTTATTTAGTCAAAGACTTTCCTCTATCCACGATATTTGTAAGGATCGAAAAATATTGATTTTTTATCGTTTTAGAAAGGGGAAATAGTCTTTTCGTAAAAGAAATTGTGATTAATTTTCGTTAATTACCATCACATCTTTCCCTATCAACAACATCTGACAGAATCGAAAAATATTGAGATTTTTTAAAAATTTTTGTATCCTGTTCAATGTTCATGAATACGGTCTCAAGTAGATCCTTGAGAAGTTTTAAAAAGAGTTATCTTCCCTTGTTTTGATTTACAAACGTGCTTACGTCATTGATAACTGTGGCTCCTTTTAGTTTTTAACCTTTAATTCATAAGTAATTGAAGATATTTGCCCTTTCCGAGAGAATAAATTTTCACAGCAATATGAAAATATTTGAGATAATAGAAACTTATTGTAGTATATACGAATCTACCATAAAATTTCTGACAGAGAAAAGAATATTGCAATGACATAAGTAGTGGAAATGGAAAGTTTGGTGGAATGGTGTTGATGGCCCAAAAATCAATCCATACAATTTTTTTATTCTACGAATATGTTAAGTAAAATGCAAAAACAACAAGAGGAAACAACAAGAAACATTTGTGATTGAAGACAAAAGACAAATATTTGAATAACAAGTAATTTTCAATGTATTTTTTGTAATGAAAATATTTTACAAAAATATAGTCGATTTTTTTTAGGTGAAATCTTGTTAGAGTTTATGTAGAATTCAAATTCGGTGAAAGATTAAATTTTGTTAATGAACTCCAATTCGAAAGGTTGTTTATTAGAATCTGTTATTGAAGATTCTGTAAATTAATTGCAAGAGAAAAAAATGTAAGAGTTCATGTAAGTAGTAAATGTAAAATTAAATGCAATTTGTGATCAAAGAAGTTATCTACCTTTGATTGTTTTGTGTAATACAATGTTCTCGAATGTAGAGAAATAAGTTGATTTGTTAGCAGGAATTTGTTTAACTTCTGGAATTTGGTGAGTGAATAAGAATAAAGTTTACTGATAAGTTTTGATGAGTGAGTGTTAATATTGTTGTGTAATGTTCATATGAATGAAAAAACTTAAAATTGAGTGATGTGAAGTTGCAATTTGATTGATGTCACAATTCTCACTGGCGAGTGTGAATGAGTTTCTGTTTTTATTTGCTTCAGGTGGCTCACAGACTTGGCGCAAACTTGGATTTCCAGTCATGAGCTGTAAAAATTAGTCAAGCGTGGGTGGATAGTCACGCCTACTTGTATATTTATTAACCAATGTGGGCTTGAGATTTTTTTGAAAGTGTATGAAGTTGAAAGTTTTCTGTGATCCACTTTTTGTACAGATTTGACCCAACTATTTTGGGTATTGGAATAATGTAGAATTTGGGTTCTTCATAAGACCAAATGGAAATGCCCTTTTTTTCTTTTTTTTAGTTTTTTAACCAAAAAAAAAATGTAAAAGAGAGACAAGGGAGGTGAAATGTAGAAATGAAGAAAGACTTTTATGGTGATGTCGGGAATGCAAAGGGAAAAAAGTATCTATAAAAAGTGGTATTTTTTTTTCTTTTTTAGAAAAGCGAAATTTGATACAGAGACTTTATTTTATTAACATATATCTGGGCATGTGAAACTCAATTAAAACATGCACCTCTATGATGGATATTTCTGAATCATGTATCATCCAGTGGTTTAATTACATAAAAGCAATGTGTTGTGCAAGGCTAATTAACTGCCCAATTCAATTTGGAGGACCTGGGATAGTGGTCCAGGTAGATGGAGTAAATATTGCCAAAAAATAAAACATGAGAGAGACCATTCTGTCCAAGATATTTTTGGCATTTACGATACTGCCACAAATCTAGACTCCCTGGGTAATTGGTCTGAAGATACATTTTTAAAACAAAAACTAAAGCCAGGAAGCATTATCTATACTGACCTTAGGAAGGCATATGAGGGGATAAGTGAGATAGAAAGTCAACCCAGTTTATTCACTAAAAAAATGGATCTTAACCAAATCTTCCTGGATCCCAATACACAGGCACACATCATCCATGTGGAACGCATGTGAAAGAATGTGAATAGTAAATTTAAATGCATGTATCGGGTTAATTTGGCTATGTTACCTTCCTATTTCAACAAATTCATGTGTCATATGCAATATGGCAACATCCACAATAATGCCTTCAATAATATATTGAACCATATTGCAAACCTATACCCTAATACCCTAACGTCAAAACTTTAATGCGTATTCAACGTATGTTTTGTTTATTAAATAATTATTTTTGTTAAACAATTGGTTTTTTTCTTATTTTTTTTTTTTCAATATTAAAAAATATTTTCATAAAAAATGTATATATCCGTTTGCTCTTTATTGAAGATAAATGTGTTTCACAATGATTTAAAAAAATGTAAAAAGAAAAATTTTCACCAATTTTAATTGTTTAATTTAAATTTCGAAAGTTTGAATCAAATCATACCTTGAGGAGACAAAAAGACTGCCTTGGTAAAGAAAAAGCTTATTAAAATAGTTGGGGTTTCATTTAAAAGACTTAGTTTTGAGACATTTTTTTAATCCTATATTATGGAATGTATCTAAATTTTCTTTATCTTAAATTTTCTTAATCTTTGCTATGATTCCTGTAAACAAATAATTTAAAATAGGAGAAGAAAAGATCAGATTACTCTGAATGAAATTACTGTTATTACACAAGCTAATATATATGTTCATCTATGAAATATCCAAAGTATGTAAGGTGGAATTTTTGAAAAGCAGCTGAATGTTTAAAATTTTATTCTGAGAGCATTTTGCTCTGCAAGAGCATCAACAGAACTACTGGAAAAAATGTAAGGAAAAGATTACTATGGCAACCTTGCTGCTTAGAAATGATGTGGTTAATTTAAAAATTAATTTAACAGTTAATAAAATTTAAAAATAAATATCCTTGAGTAACTCAAACATTTGTTCATAGGAAAATGTTAAATATAAATATTGTGATTTGATATATGGGAGATTGCTAGGTCTGCTTTTAGTAAAGTTGATTCACTGGATTCCCTCTGGACAGATAGATTCTATCTTGCATATTTATAAGTCTACCATTCATCTTTGCTTTGAATATTACTGCCACATCTGCTCTGGTGCTCCTGCTATGTATTTAGAGATTCTTGATAAAATCCAAATAATCTGCTACATTATTGGTCCTGATCTGACATCTTGGATTCAGTCATTTTCCCTTTGGCATAACATAGCTTCCCTGTACCTTTTCATGTTAATTGTTCTCATTAAATTTCCTTTTTGATATCTAGACTTTATGAATTTAAGCACAGTACTTGGAAGAGCATCAAGGTTATATCATTTTACAGTTGAAATGGCAAGAGATGCAACTGTAAGTTCTATGCTGATAGTTTCTTCTATCGTACTTCATGCTTGTTCAGTTATTCTCAGGATCCTCTTGCGGAACAAAATGTTGACTGAATAAAAAATTCTAAACTGGCTTATAAGAAAATGATCTTGCTATTTTGATCTATAAACAGTTGGGTGAATAGGCAGGGTGCAATAACTTTTCAACTTTACTAGTCTCTTTTACTCACAAGTTGAAGAGAGTTACTATTAGACAGAAAAATATCACCCATTCTTTTCACCAAAACAAGTTCTGTTTGAGTTTTGAATACAACTTTAAACTTTAAAGACATTGTTAAAATTGAAGATGGAGACTTTATTGTATTCTGCCTATTTTGTGCCTTTTTTATTTTTTTTAACAAGCATCTAAGCAATATCCTTCCTGTTAAAAGCCCTTTATGAGTCTAAAAGATTGAAGGGAAAGTGAGTATTGTGATTGGAAAAATAATTTTTTTTCTATGAATTTTTCTAACTTCATTTCACATTTAATCTTTCGAATAATCCAGAATTAAATTCCAAACATGGATTACAAATTTATCTATATTTCTGAGATGAGGTATTGTAACTATTTACACTATTTACATTGTTCAAACTGTTGTCCTCATCTTGATTGTCATATTCACAATGTTTCTGCCATTGTACATTCCAGCTTTCGTCAGGTGGTATTCCACCTGCCATGCCTTTGTATATCTCAGTTTTAGCTAATTCCCCTTGATAACACTGCAAGTTTTTGTTCTTTCTGCTAGGGCCACAGCAGACAGATGAGGACAACAGTGTAAATGGATAACCAATGAGCAACAGTTCTGACCAATGCCTAAGTATAAAAATTCTTGACTCAGAATAAATCTATTTTTCTTTTAACAGGCAATATTTACGTGGTACTCCTTATGAGAGCAAGAAGCATTTGAAAGGGAAAACTGTTTTGATTACAGGGGCCACATGTGGGATGGGAAAAGCTGCAGCTTTAGCTTTTGCCCAAAGAGGTAAGTTTATTTCTTTGTCTTTATACAAGTTTCCATTTTCCACTTTGTTTTATTGGTGATGTAATGGAATATCCTGTCATTCCCATGAGTGACTACACTATAGGTAGTAACAACTTATAAGTATCTGTAAGTCAACAGACTATAGAGACTAGCTGTGACCTCTTCCAGCTAAACAGTCAAACTCTCTGCCTTTAGGCACAGAGGAACACGGACGAAGCTCCACTGAAGAGCAGTCTCTCGTTCGGGGAGGTAGACTGACCCTGAACCCATTTATGCGGGTTCAAAAAGGGAATATTTTTGGCTGAGCCTACAGGCTCAGAGAACCCATGTTAAACTGGCCTTGTGCTACATGCAACCATTATGGGGGGGTAGCTAAATATACTAGCTGGGATCTGTTGAGTACGACTCAGACTTACGTGAGAACTACTGACCGTCCAATAGTAGCACTCACTACTGGATTGACTTGCAACAACCTTGTGCATAACTGTTACCTTTATTTTTATTGTACTGGTTTTTTACAATAAACCTTTACTTATTTTATCCACCTTGTTTTTCAAGTATATATTCCTATTAGCATGGAATATAACAATTTTCTCCTTCACAAAATAGGATTTCTTTTTAATCATTTCACCCCAAGCAAGGCAATAAAGCCACTAGGATGCAAGAGATTAGTGACTGTTAGAGAATATGTGAAAAACTACTATTAAGGAGAGACGACAATAAAAGATTAAAATGAGAGAAGATAATGATAGACATTGCATTTAAATCTTTGAAGATCAAGTTGACTGGGAAGCAAGAAGCCAGAAGAGAGTTCCACAAGTGAGAAATGCAATAGAAAAAACTGTTAACATAAAAGTTATGGTTACATCTAGCCATTTCAACTGTAAATTGATGTGACCTTTCAATCTAGTACTGTGGTTAAATTCATAAAGTCTAGGAGCTATAGAGGAAAGTTCATCAAAACAACATGAAAGTATTTATAGAAAAGACACAGGAAGCTACATTATGGTGATAGGAAAGGGACTGTAGCTGAGTTACTTGATCAAGACCAATAACATTGCAGATTCTTTTGGGGATTTTATCAAGAATCTCTAAATATATAGCAGGAGTACCAGAGCAGATGTGGCAGTGATGTTCAAAGCAAGGATGAATGGTAGACTTAAAATATGCTGATGGAAGGTAAAAGGGTTCTCTCGGATGTTTAAAAGAAATTGTGACATAGCAAATTAAGAAACATTTCTAAGATGTTAGCAAGAACCAAGATTTCCATTGTACAATTGGGCTCATGTCCATATCATGCTGAAACAAGTTCTTGTATCCTGTATGTCTTAAAGAAGACAATCTTTCATCAGTTCCAATAGACTGGTGCTACAAAATCACAAATAACTTTACAACATCACTTGAAGACTTCCAACAGAAGCAACAACTAAAATGGATAGCACATGTAAGCCAAAGAAAAAAATAGCATAGTGAAGATGTTGATTTTTCCACACTACCTTAAACAAAATGTTAGGAAGGAAACTCCCATCAATAAAAAATAAAGAGCAATAACAGTGGACCTGTGAAGCCTATTTTTACTGAAAACCTGTTTTAAGAGAAAGATTTCATAAATTTCAACTGACAATAATGCTAACTGATCCGTCAATGAATATTGCATGTTTCCTGTATGGAAACGGCTAACGGTTATTCAAAACTAGAAAACCTTTTTAGATTGTAAGGATTTTTTTTTGAGGTAATGATATAGTCATACAAGTCTTACTAATTAACCCATAGATGGAGGAGAAGAGGTGGAATTTATACTTTTCCCAAGAGTATTTGTGTGTAAGTGAATATAATGAACCAACTGCAATTCTGACCCATTATCCATTAGACCTGTGGTTCCCAAATGGTGTGGTGGAATGATTGAATGACAATCAAAGATTTAGAAACAGTTTCAAAAAATTCATATGCCAAAAATAAATATGATTTCAAAATTTAAAATATTATTATGGATTACTTGTAATTGCATGCATGAGTCCCAGTATAAATAGTTATTGGCCAATTTTAACATAGTGATATTTTTTTGTATTATATCAAGTATTAAGAATATAATAACTAGCTCCACAAATTGGAGGAGAGAGTTATCAATGATAATGTTCTGTTCTAATTTGTAGTTATCTCCCTTTAACCCTTTCTCTCTCAACCTTTTTTAGCATAGGGTTGCTTGCACCTTTTCAGTTCTGACAAATATCAAAACCCAAAACAAGAGACAGGTTTCTTTTTGCTGATGAGGTGATGAGAGTGTGTTTATTTCAAATTAGGCTTAATATAAAATAGATTGTCAAAAACAAGCTCATACCTTTCATTAAATTTTTTTAATTTAATTATAAGTTATTTGTATTGTATATTATATTTAACACACTATTAGTCATTTTTTATTTTAAAATGTGCTTTTTATCACATAAAATTTGGTGAGGCATGAGCACTTTTTCATTACGAAAATGAAGCCCAAAGAAAAAAGTTTGGGAACCACTTCAGTAGACCACCCACACATCCAAGCTTACATCACCTGGTATTTTCAAGCGGGCACACAACTAGGTACAGACCTGGCTAAATGTTGATTAACTTTGGTGATCATATGGGAACCAGTGTTTCACATATGCGGTACAGAAAAATTAGTCTTTTCTATAAGTTAATGTTTGGCTTTGCCTACAATATGTTAGAATCTCTTTTCTGAATATTCCTGGCTGAAATAGAGGTTTGTCTTTTATTCTTGTGTCTTCTCTATACCTTTAAATATAGCAGATTGAGTAATCGTGATTTCTAAATATATTGAATGATTTGAAATCTTGCAAGAAATCCATCAACATGAACCCCTATAATGATCTAGATGTTTTTTTTTTTGTGGGGGAAAAGATTGGTGCTGTTGTCTTGTTCCCCTAATCTGTTTTCCAAACAATTCCATACTAAGTGATCTAATTGATCACACTGATAGCATCACAATTGTATGAGTTTTATCAGCCTCTCCTCATTGACTCAAGCTGCCTCTTGACTGGTGATTCTGCCCATCACATCTGAAGCATGTAACCTTTCCTGGGATATGTCATTATTTGCATGTGCGGCTCTGTGAATTTGTAACAATGCGCTTTATTTTTACTACAAGAAATCACAGTCAGCCTGTCAAATATAGAATCAAATTCCAATGTTTATAAATTCAGGATAAAAACTTTTAATATATTAATATATTTTGTCTTCTTGCTTTCGGTGAACATTTGTAATCATGTCTGGCAATCTATAGGGTTGTTTCCTTAGGTACCTCTCTGAGTTTCTTTAGAAACCATTTTTGTTTTCAGGTCACTGATATTTTATGGTAACCATAACAATTTGAACAAATTTATAAAAATATTTTCAACTGCTCGTTTCTTTTCAGAATTCAATTTTTTTCTGGATTTGTTACTTGTTTAATTAATTAATAATTCACTAAATGATAACAGATTATTTGGATAATTCTGCCATAAATAATACTTTATCTAATAAAATTGTATATTACTCAGTTATCTCCTCTTGTTTTGCAACCAGAGTTCAGGAGAAAGTGAATTTCGATTCTAATTTTCAGGTCAGTCAAATTAATACTTATTAGTATAAAAGAATTTAGAAAGACCATCCATATCAAAACTGCCAGCCAGTATTGGACTAACCACATATAATTTGTCTTTTACCAGTGATTTACCAGGCAAAAATGAACACTCAATAAAGCTCTTCTATTTTCTATGAATATATTTACCGTATATTTTCTGTCTATAAAGCAACCTTTAGATAAGATGAGGTAAAAAAAATACAGCAAATTTTCATGAATTTATCCCATACCTGCTTCTTGATTATATAAAGATGATGTTATTGGAAATGTTGGTACTTACTTTATCCTTAGAAATTCAAAATAAACGAAATAACAAAACTGATTCTGTGTCATGTTTTTCTTACACATGTCCTCTAAAAGGGAAACCATTGTTTTGTTTACATTTCCTCACATGATCTCTTGCAAATACTGATTCTTCTTCTTTCTCTTCTTTTCAAACAGCCTGGTGTACTAATGGCCATTTACTTATACTTCATTGACAATCACAAAATACTGCTAATAACATTATGATAATTTACGATAATAGTACATTTCATTGCTGTGAACATAATCATAACTTGATCTTTACATTTTCTCAGCTGAGCTTGCATTGATACAAGTTGATTTCATTCATAGGGAATTATTCTTTGAATAGTCAATTTATTATGAACTTATGCCAATAATATATAAAATAGAAATGGTTTTATTACTTTTATTATCAGTTTATTTGATATGAATTTTTTCATGTACATTATTGCACCAAGGCCAAGGTTAGCTTACTGACAAACATCACTTCAGGTTTCTTTTTTAGAATTATAGTATAAGCTGACCTCCAATTTTTAAGGGTCCTTTGTAGGATTTAAAGGTCATCTTATACATGGGAATATATGGTAAATGATATGAACTATATTTCTTAGAGTGTAATTCTGCAAATTCACTTTGATGACATTCAATGTACAAATACCCTGTTTTAAAAATACTACAAATATAAAGATTTCATTTTTTTTCCCCTCTTAGAGATTACAGACTAATTTTCTTTTTCTGTGTTATTTACAAATATGCAAACAATCTTAGTCATTACATTGCATTAATAATTTGAAGTTATTCAGTGCGATCGACTGCATTTGCCAGAAACATTTGCCAAGAGATACGTAATGCTTACTGCATATTCTGATATACTTCATATTTATTTTCACATGCTTCAAGAGATTTTTGTGTAGTACTAGTTTCATGTCATTTGGGTGGTTTTATTTGCAGGTGCCCGTGTCGTGCTTGCTTGTCGTGACACAGAATTAGCAGAAAAAGTAATCAAGGAAATCCGAGATACATGTGACAACATCAATGTCATTGCATTACACTGTGACCTCAGTTCCATGGAATCAGTTCGAGCATTTGCCAAGGAGTTCAAAAAATGTGAGGATTTTTTTTTAATTTTATATATGATTTAACAGCTTTGTTATAAAAAAAAAATGTTACCTTTCTTTTTTCTTTGTCAGAGTTAAATAATTATAAACCGGGTTTGTGAAACAGTGATTTTTTTTATATTTTTTATGCCATGTCCCTTCAGAATGTAGGTGATCATGACTCTCCACAGATTCCTTTATTATTTGTGAATAGCCATGCATTCTTGGGAAATGCAGAGGTGTGTTTTCCTGTTGTCTTCTTGACAGTTTGGAATTCAGCATTTTCCTTTCCTTTCCCTGTTATGAAAATGTTTTCAAAATAATTCTTTAAAACCTGGCAGCTGTCAATATTAGACACTGCACTTCCAAACTAGCTGTAGTGCCACAGAGAATTATATTGATATTCTTCATGCAAACCAGACTCCAAATATCCTGTGATGGAAAACCTCTTGACCTATTTTATTTTTTTTTTTAATCCTCTTGCCCAAGACGCAAAGGGTTACTGGGATTGGAAGAGAATGAGAAAAATTTAGTGAGGAAAAAGGACAATGAAAAAACAGGTTTCTGGAAGATGGCGATTGACATTTTATTTAAATTTTTGAAGATCATAGGTGACAGGAAAGCAAGAATTGGAAGTGTGTTTCACAAGCAAGAAGTGCAAGAAAAGAAATTAGACTAGAACTTTGTTATATCTAGGTAATTCAGCATCTATTTGAGAATATTTTTGTGATATCCAAAATAATACTTAGTAAATAAATATTTAAGAGTGAACATCAGTTATCAGGAAACTCACATTTTTTTTTTCTTTTAGTCATTTAACCCCAAGAAAAGCAATAATGTCACTAAGATGCAAGGGTTAACTGGGGGTGAAAGAGAATGAGAAAACTTTAGTATGGAAAAAAAAAAAGATTTCATGAAGACAGATGATTGCAATTGACATTACAGTTAAATTTTTGAACATTGTAGTTGGCAGGGAAGCAAGAAACTGGAAGACATTTCCACTAGCAAGAAGTGCGAGAAAAGAACTTACAGTTACATTTAGCTATTTCAATATTAAGATAATGAGACCTAATTGCCAATCTAGTAGTATGCTTAAATTCAGTCGAGGTACAAAGGAGGAAAGCTCATTAGAACAATTGTCATGAAAGTATTTATTGAAAACACAGAGGGAAGCTAAATTACAGTGGTGGGTAAATGACTGAAGTCAAGATGTCAGGTCATTACAAACCCTTCTTTGGAATTTGTTGAGAATATCAAGAATATACAGCAGGAGCACCAGACCAAGTATGGCAGCGATATTCAATGCATGGACGAATGGTAGATTTATAAATGTGCAAGATGGAATCTGGTGAGGAAAATAGTGAATCAATCTTCCTAACAGCCGGTCTTCATGTAAGTGGAAAACGTGAGAACAAGAAGGTTCAATGAATTGTTCTGGAGGTTAGGAATATGCAGCAATAGTTCTCTATGATGATTAAAAAAAGCGGAAGAGTATTAAGCAGGCAAGAAAAGAAACTATTAGAATAGAACTTATGGTTACATCTTTGCTATTTCAAGAGTAAAATGAGGACATCTAGTTGCCAATCTAGCTTAAATTCATGCGGTCAAGGTACCAAAGAGGCGAGATCATTAGAACAACTGCCATGAAAAATATTTATAGAAAAGATGAGATGCCAGTACAGGACTGATAACATTACAGACCCTTTTTTTTGGATTTTAGATATCTCAAGATATATAGCTGGAGCACCAGACCAGATATGGCGGCAATATTCAATGCTGCATGGATGAATAGTAGGTATATAAATGTGCATGTTAGATTCTGGTTATCAAAATGGTCTGGCATGAAATACAGTGAACCTCTATTCTTAGCAACAGACCAGCAGTTGATTCAATATAATCCCTCCCACACACTTCAGGTCAGTAGAAAATGTGAGACCAAGAAGGTTTAATGAGTTGCTCTCTTGGAAGTTAGCATCAGTTATATACCAATGGCAGGCAGAAAAAAATTCTCTATGGTGATTAAATGAAAGAAGTTTCGTTTTGGATGTGTTCAAATTTACAAGCCATTACTTGTCCCAGTTAACCATTGTTTAGAGATCCTTTTCGAGAGCAGTTGCCAGTTTTACTTTATTGAACCTGCCAGACTTGCATAGGAGTAAATAGTTATCATCAGCATAAATACCTTGTTGGGAACTGATGCCATTGGGAAAAGGTCGTTAACGAAAAGAAACAACAAAGGTAAAAGGATAGAACCTTGGGTAACCCCTCACATTATTATGAAATGAACTAGCTGCATGTTCATTTGACACTATCTTCATTACACAATTTGTTAGGAACTATTGGATTTAGCAAAATATTCATCCAGAGACACCATAGCTCTTGAAATTGTGGAGAAGGCCAACATACCAAACCCTGTCAAATGCCTTTTGAGATATCTTAAGCCACAACACAAGCTTTGGAATTCTTATCTAAAGCCTGACAGAGAGATTCAATAATAGCCGTTAACACATTGGCATTAGACCTGGAGAAATGAATGCCGTATTGTTTATCCAAAAGAAAGCCGTGTGAGGTGAGATGCTTAACCAATTCAGCTTTGGCTTTGAAATATCATTGAATTTCACCAAACCCCTACCTCTGTTCACAGCAACTACCTGCCGCTGTGCTGTTATTACCTTCTAAACTTCTGTCTAACTGTGAGGTATTGTTTGTTTGGCAACACTCTGGCCCAGAATAAAAATTATATCATTTGAGCATTGTTTCTAAACTGCTTGAATGATGTGTTAACTAGAGATTCTTAGTACTCACCTAAGAATTCAGAAACTCTCTGAAAATACTCACTGACAATGACTATGTGCCAAGCATAGTGAACGGTACTATAATCTTGTATCAATGCCAACACTTTGAGATTGTAGGGACATTGTCTCCACAGTCTAATCAAGATACACTGTTCACTCATCAATTGGATGCATGTTTGCATTAGATAGATAAGAAAAATGATTTTTAATATAGACATTTCACACACACACACACGCACACATGCAGAGAACTTAATCCTTTGAAAGTTAACTGATAAAAATAACCAGTTTGATCTTTATGGTTGCAGCAGCTGCAGCTCTTTTGAGGAAATAACAGTTTGTCATATGTCTGCAGATGTGCAGTTGGTGCAATTGTTAGAGGCACAGAAAGAGAAATCAGCAAGTTGAGTTTGAATTCCAGTCTCATTTGTCTTAGGTTTTTGTCATGTTTATTTTGAAGAGTATATACTCTCCTTTTTTCCAAAATTAGATGGATTGGATTTCTAGAATTAAATGGATTATATTTCCAGAATTGAATAGAATAGATTTCCAGAATTAGATGGATTGGATTTCCAGAAATTGGGTGGATTAGTCTTCCAGAAATTGGAAGGACTAGATTTCTCTGCCTTTAAAACCCTGATTTTTACTTGGACATGAATGCTAACTACTGGTGCCTGTGAAAAATATCTGACAATCTCTATCACCAAGCAGGCTTTCTAGATCAAGATGGGACATCTTCCATTTTTAAAATTCAAATGTATATCTATTAAATTGGAAAACAGATTGAAGCTAACTCATTAGTTTATTTTTCCAACTTTCAGGTGAATCCCAACTTCATATTCTTGTCAACAATGCAGGTGTAATGATGTGCCCCAAAGACTTAACAGAAGATAAATTTGAGATGCAATTTGGTGTCAATTATCTTGGTAAGTATTTCTTTTCCCTTTTCTGTTTGACCTTTCAACCCTTACAATGCTCATACCTTTATCATTGCCCTTGGTTACATAATTTCTCATTAATGTCATCAATATTTCGCATTACTTTTTAGATATATGTTGATATTTACTAAGAGGGATATTTTTGTGCTTACAGCTATATCGCGTTGAAGCACTGGTTCTAGTATGATCAACGAAGTTAAACAATGTTGAGCCATGTCAGTACCTAGATGGGTGACTGCTTGGAAATACTAGGTACTGTAAGCTTGGATACATGGGCAATGTAATGGATCAGTCAATTAAGTGCCACATGTGATACATGCTTGGGCAATCAGGTATCTGTGGATACATGACTGACAAGGCAGAAGATTTTTCCTGCAGTAGGTTGTCATTTCTTTCTGTGGTAGACTAGTTGCCAAACAAAGCTAAAGAACCCAGACTAGCCTGCTATTTAACCCATAGCTGGGGGAGAAGAGATAGATTTGTACCTTTCCTGAGGGTATTTGTGTGTAAGTGAATATAATGAACTTGAATGGAATTTGAACTTGGCTCTCGGAATGTAACGGATAATGCCTTTTCTCCTCCCCCAGCTATGGATTAATTAGTAGGACTTGTATTAGTAAATCATTATTATTATCATCATCCCAAAATTCTTACAGTCTAAAAATATTTTCTGGCTTTAAAATAGCCTGCAAAAAGTTGATAAGTGGTAAAAAAAAAATTAAAAAAAATGTGCTGTTTTTTTTTTTCTTGTCAGTGAAAGAGAATTGAAACCCAAAGGACAGATTATTTTTCGATTTATGAATAGCAAGTGACACATAAAGAATACCTTTTATGCTTGAAAATGATTTTATAGAATATAATTCAATAAAAGTAAGCAATTGAAGAAAGTCTTGCTTTTCTAGCCGCTGAAAAGTTTTTAGCACAGCCTACTTCCCAAAATTTGACCATATGACGAGGCATCAGATAATTGTGGGTTCTTTGTTGAGCTGCAATCTTTTCAGTAACCCCTAATTGGGAAATAATGGTAGAGTATTAGTTTCCATAGACTGGATTTTCAGATTTCGAGTACATTTGTATGATTTTGGCAGAAATGATTTGGAAATGTTGCAATTTTTTATTTGTGTATTTTTTGAGCCAGTTTTATTTATTGTGAATAATCTAGGTTTTATTCACAAATTACTGTCTTTTCTCTCTTTTTGGTCTCAGCAGAACAATGTGACTACCACACACATGCACATACATATATATATATATAAAAATTTGGTAACAGTCTGTTTCATGCATAAATGCAATTGTCAGTCCATGACAACAGAATTGTTTCAGTATCTGTCTATATTTCTGAGATGAGGTATTATGTACATTATTTACATTATTTGGACTATTGTCCTCATCTTTGTCGCCATATTTATTACAACGTTTCGGCTGTTGTACACTCTGGCCTTCTTTAGGTGGTTGGAATGTCGAACTGAACCCTTTATTTCATTCACTTCAGAGGGTAGACTGGTCTAGTCCCATGTGCCATGTTTAATGGATGTCAGTTATTGGTTATCTCCTGTTAATTTCCCTCTGAAAGTTCTCCACTGCCTTAGCCGGGTATTGAACTAATGCCTTTATGCACTGTGCCATGTGTCCTATATATATATATATATATATATATATATATGGGAAATGAGAAAATTGGCAGTCAATTGCTGAAACCACTTGACAATTGGACAGAACAATTACAAAAAAGGTTTTTTTATGAAACACTGAAGTCAGGGTGCTGAATATAACCTCAATCAACTAAGTGACAAATGTCACAAATTTTATATTTGTATTACTCATATATATATATATATATATATATATATATATATATATATATATATATATATATGTTTGGTTAGATAATAATAACCAGTTCTGTCTATCAGTTTTTTATTATCTAATTTTTTTTTTTAGATTTTTAAATTAGGTGTTTTATGTTATCGGTAAATTTGATATTTATTTTTGTTTTATATTTTTTTTACTGAATACTTTTGAATTTTGCTACATTAATTTTCAAGGTTAGTTCTGTTTCTATTTACACAACTGTTTTTTTAATTCTGGCATTCTAACATTTAATGGAACCAATTTCATGTCTCTCAAGTGATGTCATATAAACAGTCAAAATGAAAGTTTTTATATTTGTGGTTTTTTTTTGTTTTTTTTTTTACCACCCTTCAATATACAGTTCCCTATGGAGAAAGATGCCTTATTTAATGTTGGCTGCTTCCATTTTATTACAACAGCCTCCAGAATTTGGAATCTTTCTTTACACTGTATCCTATATAAAATTTTGGTGTTATCTATCTCTCTCTCTCTCTCTCTCTCTCTCTATATATATATATATATATATATATATATATATATATATATATATATAAAAGTTTAATGGTCAGAGTTGAATCAGATCAGGAAACAGTAGTATCAAAAAGTGCTCAGTACACATGTGAAAAAATATAAAAATAACATGTAAAGCCTTTAACTTTAAAAATTAGGAGATCAGTTGAATCCGCTATTTTGATTTTCTCCGCCTGAGGATACCATAAGGTTGAAACCAAGGTGGTGGTTTCAACTGATCTCCTAATTTCTAAAGTGTGTGTGTGTATATATATATATATATATATATATAAAATAAATGTATAAGATATTTGTCACTTAGCTGATTGATGTTACCATCCCAACTCAAGTGTTTCTTAGATGGACCCTCTTTGATGTTTGTTCCCTTGGTCATATTTTGGGAAGTACACTAGGCTGAGAACTTTTCAGCATCTCTTGATATTCTTTTGCTGTGAAATTGCAAATTAGCAAAATATTTGAAACAGAAAGAAACAGGAGCCTATTGCCACTTTTTGAACCAAGGCCCATATAATAGAGAACCTCACTAAATAGTGGTGATGGGCTGAAGAAAGTCACTTGTCAAAAAGGCCATATAAGCCAGGCTATTGACATCTTCAGTACAATGCAGGTGTGTATGCCCCGTAAAGAAGAAAACAAATAGAAAAACTACTGCATCTAAGAAAAAAAATGCCTTTGCATTTGAGAAGATCAGGAACTATATTTTTTCTACTTGATATTTGGAGCTAGATTTTTTCCTGGTCTAATTACAGAAGACACTGCATGAATCTAGGACCCCACTCACCCAAAAGATGCATTATACACTAGAGTAAGGCTGAAGAATGTATTAGACAAAATGTATCAATAAATCCAACATGGATGAGTATACTCATCTGAACAACTTGTACAATGATGACAATGATATCTTAGAATTTCAAACTAAAATTAAATTGCAAGAATTCAGAATAGCAGCAAAAGTAGAATTTGAATTCAAACTATTGCTACCTAACATAGCGAGCATTTATGGTATATGAACTTGGTTCTGTTGGAAACTATCTTTTTGTTTTATGTGTCTGCAGTTGCCAAATAATGGATTGGCAAAAGAAGTGTGTTGAAATAAAACAAGAAAAGACGATGTAGTCAGAACTAGAAGTAGAAGGAATCTGTTTTTGAGATTGCATTTTCTCATCGCTCATTTTTTGGTTTCAGGTCATTTTCTTCTCACCCATTTGTTGCTGGATCATTTGAAGAAGAGCGCCCCATCACGTATCATTAACGTTACAGCCCATGCACACCAGTTAGGTGTGATTGACTTTGATGACATCAATCAGGATAATGACTACAACCCTGGCCATGCCTATGCTCAAAGTAAATTAGCTGTTGCTTTATTTACCATAGAACTTGCTAAACAACTTGAAGGTAAACACAAATGGATATATTCCTATTTTCTAAACTTTCAACATGGCTGATGCTAACCTCCAGGAGAATGATTCATTACGTTTTCTCGATTTAATGTTTTTTTACTGACATGAAGCGAAATGATTATATTGAATCAATTGCTAGGTCTGATGCTAAGAATTTCTTACACATTTATAAAGTTGACCATTTATCCATGTATTGAATATTGCTACCATATCTGGTTTGGAGCTTCTGCTATGTATTTTGAAATTCTTGATGAAGTCCAAAGTGTATGCAATATTATCAGTCCTGACCTGACATCTCAACTTTAGTCATTTTTCCATTATCATAACATAGCTTCCCTGTGCCTTTTCTATAAGTTAATTGTTTGGATGAGCTTTCCTCTTTGATACCTAGAGTTTATGAATGTAAGTGCAGTACAGCAAGGCAGCAAGGTCTCATCATTTTACAGTTGAAATGGCTAGAGATGTAACCTTAAGTTCTATGCTAACAGTTTCTTCTCTTGTAATTCTTGCATGTAGAATTTTTTTCTGGCTTCTTTCTTCCGAGTCAAGTTTGATCTTCAAAAATTTAAATGCAGTGTCAATTGTTATCTTTTGTTGTCTTAATTCCTGTTTTTGTAATATTCTCTCTCTCTCTTTAATAATGTTTTTATTTTTCTCATATTCTTTCACGTTCAGTAACCCCTTCTGTCTTTATGGATTTATCAACTTATTTAGAGTGAAAGGGTTAAAAAAAAAAAAACCTTCTTTTTATAAACTTTTGATTTTTTTTACAGTTGAAATTTAAAAAAAATATTAAATGTATTTAGAAAAATATGACAAACTGGAAAGGTTTTCATGTGACATATTTCATCCATTAGGATTTCATCAAACTGGGCTTTGTTGACGTTGCCACGTCTACACATGTGCACGAAATGAGAGACACTGGGAGTTTCAAAATTTTTGGAATAATTTTTTTTTCTCAATCGATCCGAAATCATCTGTATTCTTTTTCTTTTTCTCTCCATCACCTTTTCCTCCTGCTGTCTCACATTGTGACAACAGAAAATCTAATGGTGATATATTGTAAAAACCTGGATACAAATTTATTGTGGCTGAACTAACAATCAAAGTACTTTCCAGGCTCTTATATCACCATTCTCGGTAGATTTTATCGTGTGGGATCGTCATGGACAAAGTTGATAAAGAGAAAAAGAATACAGAGATTGAGAAAAAAAATTCTTTAAAAAATATTCTTTCAAAAATTTTGAAACTACCTGCGTCTCTTGTTTTTGTGTGCATGTATAGACATGGCAACATCATCAAAGCCCATTTCGATGAAATCCTAACGGATGAAACACATCACAAGAAAGACCTTTCCAATTTGCTATATTTTTCTAAATACTATTTGTTGATATATAAAATTATACGAAATTATATATTGTTATATTAATGCATCATTATATATTTTTATATTCTATTAAATGCATCTGAAAGTGAACTGTAAACATACACCTGGGGGTCTTTCTCTAACTTTCACTACACTTTCTTCTACTTCTGTTTGCCACGTCCCTTCAGGACATGACTTTCCATAACTTCTTATTTCTTGTGGCTGTTAGCAGTTTTTCTATGGCCACTCCCCCATTCAGCCATTATCCATCTTGTCAGGTAGGTGGCCCGCTGCCTTTCCCTATCTCTCTTGCCCCCAATATGCTCTGTAAGGGTTAGATTTTCCAATCCTTCCACCAATTTGTAACTCACATCTAGGGTTTTTCCTTTTGCTGATGACTTTACTTTCTGTTTTCTTGCAGTTGATGGTTAGTCCTTTTTTCTTGCCTTCTTTTACCACCCTGTCTAGGAGGTCCTGTAGTTTTCTTTCTGTATCAGTCATCAACACAGTGTTATCTTGCATTGTTAAGATTACTCTCGCCGATAATAAGTTATAATAGGGTTTCCACATCCCTTAGAAAAGACTCACTGCTAAGAAGATACATCCTTATCTTAGACCCTTTTCTACTTTTTTGCAGCTACTGAATTCATTTTCTATCCGTATGCAGGCAGTTTCCTTCCAGTATAAATTCTGGATTCTTCTAACTTATTTTACAAATAAATCTAGTTTTCTTTGTAGTTCAAATAGATTCTTGTGCCATACCATGTCAAATGCTTTTGTGTAATCTATGAAACATAGGTACATCCTACTGCATTTGTATTACACTCTCTCTCTCTGTTTCATAATTCTGATCATGAATATCACATTTCTTGTTTCAGTGTCCTTGACAAAGCCACACTGTTCTTGTCCTATTTCTGGTCTAATTCTGCTTTTTTCTCTATTCATCAGGATTCCCATCATTAGTTTGGTTGTAGCTCATTAAACTGATTGGCTTTGGATTCACATTTGTTTGTACTTGGTCTTTTAGCTAATGTTACAAAGATGGACTTAGTGAGGTCCTCCGGTATGTGGTCACTGTTATATATTTTGTTTATTACTTCTGCAATCTTGTCAATGCCGAAGTCATTTAAGGCTGAGAGCATTTCTGTTATGATTCCATTATGACATGCTACATTGTTCCGGTTCATCTTCTCATCTTACTTCATCTTTTAGGATTGCTGACCCTTCTGCATTCTCCTGCGTAGCTTTCTCTCTTGCAAGTTCTTTGATGTATTCGCTCCATCTTTTGAGTATTTTCCCTTTTTCTATTATCAGTGATCCTTCGTTTGATTTTATAGAGTTTATGAGTTGGTTCACCTTTTGTACTGTTAATTCTTTTATTCTGTTGTGCATATTTGCTGCATTTGTGTGGCTCATCCTTTATACTTCTGTGCACTTTTCATTGAGTCATTCCTCTTTAGCTTTCCTACATTTTTTTTTATTTATGTGGTTAGTGTTCATTACTCTTTTTCTATTCCTTGGTATTGTTTTTTGTCACTTTTTTCTAATCTCTAGGATTTCCTCTTTCATCCAACCATTCCTTTCTTGTGTCATTTTCTTTGGAATGATCTCATTCACCAAGGTCACTAGTGTTTCTCTCAGCATGTGCAACTTTGATTTTTCTAGCCTTGTTCAGGCTATATTTGTTTATAAATCTGTTTTTGTCTCTCCCCTTGTGACTTGGGTCCTTCAGAAATCTGTCATCTTGCAGTTTAGGTGTCGCTCTAGTCTTTAGTTTCTGAAGATTTTAATCTGATGTAACATACGACTGAAAAATGCCCACTCATGCAGTTGGCACTTGGGTATGTTTTGCAGTGTAGAATTGTGTTTCTGGACATTTTGTTATGTAAACAATCTGGTTCTTTGCATTTTCTCCCCGGCTTCTCCATGTCCACATGTATCTTGGGTGCTCTTGGAACCAGGTGTTGGTAATTATTTGATCATTTGCTGTGCACTACCGGATCCAATCTCATTTTGGGATCCTAGTTTGAACTTGCAAACTATTTTGTCTTCTTGTCCTATTTGACCATAACATTCAGATCTCTCATGATGATAGTGATTTCTTGTGATTTACACAAGGCAGTAGTTCCCAAATTTTTTCCTCTGGGCTGCACTTTTAGAATTAAAATTTGCTTGTGCCTCACCAAATTTTATTTGATAACAGGTACATTTAAAAATAAAAAAAAAAAAAACAGGGAGAGAGTTAAGGGGAGATAACTGTGGATTCAAAGTCAGAACATTATTATTGATAACTCTCTCCTCCAATTTGCGGATTCTAGTTAGATCTTCTTAATACTTGATATAATGCAAAAATATCACAATGATAAAATCAGTCAATAATTATTTATAACTATTTAGACTGGGATTCATGCATGCAAGTAATCTATAATAATATTTAAAATTTTGAAATCATATTTATGTTTGGTATATGAATTTTTTTAATCTGTTTCTAAATCTTTGATTGTCTTTCAATCATTCCACCTCCCCTGCTATCTTCTTCTGCTTCACCTATGAGGTGTGCTGCACAATTTGGGAACCACTGACATAGGGACTTGGTGTTGTCCAGAGAGATGTAAAAGTTACCAATTTTCTATTCTGTGCTCTGTGTTTTCAGTGTGTATACAGCGATAATTGCTTTGTGTTGATTTCAATCCATGGAAATGATCATCAAACACTTGCCCCTCCCCTTTTGTAGGCAAAAGCACACAAATGCATGCTGGGATTTTTTTTCTTAGCCAATAAAATAAATTGGGTTGCAGTTTGGCATGACTCATTCTTGATCTGCCTTATCTAAAAGACAATGATACATTTGCTTGGTCGAACTTGCTTTTGTGTGTGTTGACACCAGTTCTTAGTTTGTGAACTCTTTGCCTTATTACTATTAATTTGCCTTACATATATTTGCTTGCTTGATGTTATTTCATTTTTGCCGTGTTTCCTTTTTCTTTTTATTGAAAACTTTGTTAATTCTGTTTGTTGGACAGTTTTGTTGTTTATTTTGCATTTGACCATGACCACTCACTCCACACTATGTTAAAGGTCTTTCCTTTCAGTTTAACTAACAGGATTCTGTCTGACACATTTCCTCTACTCATTATCTAATACTAACCATACATCGCTTTCATTTTCCTCTGTGTGTTGCTTTTGAAATCCTCGTTACATGCCCACCTAATTTAGCATTCTTAGGGTGTCGATATTTAATCTATCTCTTGCTTGATGTTGGCCACATTGGTGTTGTGTCCTTATATACTTGAATGCAGTAATCAATAAATCTCAATATTTCATCTGTTGGTCAGAGAAAATAAAAGAAACAATTGCATGCGGATGTACCATGTGCATTATCAGAGTATCTCAGCCATCCAAATGCCAATGCTAGGAGTGAGCCAGAAAAGATACTGTAATTTCATCAGGCTACCATTATCTCCATGTACAAATATTGGACGTGAACAGAGTGGAATCTGTCAGGAATATTTAAACATTGCTTTATTATTTCCAATTATTTTCCACTTCCAGAATCTCTGATATATTTTATTCAAAAATAGTAATGTAAATATACACTACAGTTCAAAAGTTTGATGTCACCCCCAGAATTAGCATGGGATGAACTTGACAGAAGTACGAAAAAAATAAAAATAAAAAAAAGAGCTCTTAGAGTCATTGAAAAAAAGAATAGAATCAATTATCAAACTCATACTTTGAGAAACTTTTGCAATGAATGCCAAAAATTTGTGCTGCAGTAATAAAGGCTAAAGGAGGATATTTTGATGAGAGAAAAATTTAATCATAAAATGTTTTTTTCTTTTTGTCATAATAAAATTTCTAATAAAAAAATCATGTCACACCATCATTGTTTTTAATCATGTATAATAATTTTCTCTTATTTAAAGTACAAAACTACTCTTTGGTCCAATTTAAAAATTACCATGCTTTCCTCAAACTTTTGAACTGTAGTGTATTTGTGCTAGTTTTTTTACTTTTAATATTTTTAATTTGCTTATTTAGTTTTTAAACCATGCCTTGACATACAAGCATAACCTTTTGATCATCATTGGGCTTTCAACCTTTGAGAACTATTGCCATAGAGAAAAACAATAATCCCAAACAGACTACCAAATTAGAAGTTTAGACCTCTACTTACTACATAAGTCAGGCTACTATCTTACCATAGAGATAAACAATAGAACTAAATTACCATACATTCACTGTACTCTACTTATTGTAATAAAACTCATATTTGGTAAATTTATTATGGTAACAATAATAATGATGGAATTTTTACTGTTTTTGTTTCCTGAAGTGTATTTTTATGTTAAAGTATTGCGCATTTGTCTTTAGTTTAATTCTTTTGTGTTTACAGGTACAGATGTGACTGTGAATTGTGTGAATCCGGGTGTTGTGAACACAAGTTTGCATCGTCACATGCCATTTAGAAACCATTCATTTATCAAGTTTTGTTTTGCACCATTTGTTTGGTATTTGTTCAAAAAACCTGAAGATGGCATCAATTCTATGCTCTTTTGTGCCCTTGAAGATTCCATAGAGCAGACAACTGGCAAATATTTTATGTAAGTAGCTTTTTGTACTCTGACCTTTCAACTTATTACCTGATTTTGCAAGCATTCATACGAAAACCTTACAAACAAAATGCATATACAACATTAGAGTAACTGATAAAAAAATACTGTCTACCTATCAAACAATCTATTAAATTCTACACCCTGAAAAGCAAGAAAAAATTATCTCTGCATGTGTTATCTTACACATTTAGAAATCTACCATGTATTGAATCTTGCTGCTATATCTGGTCTGGTGTTTCTGCTATGTATTTAAAGATTCTTGAAAAAAAAATACAAAGAATAATCCTCAATGTTATTGGTCTTGACCTGATATCTCAGCTTTCCTACCACCACAATGTAATTTCACTGTGCCTTTTTCTATAAACATTTTCATGATAATTGTTCTGATGAACTTTCCTCTATGGTACCTAGACTTTAAGCACAGTATCAGATTGGCAGCAACATCTCATCATTTTAACAGTTGAAATGGCTTGATGTAACCATAAGTTCTGTGCTAACAATTTCTTTTCTTGCATTCCTTGCTTATGGAATTCTTCTGGCTTTCCACTCAACTTTGATATTTAAATGCAACCAACATCAGTCGTTAAGAACAGGAATTAAGATGGAAGACAATCTTAATTCCTTTTCTTTTACTGTTCTTTCTCTTTAATAATGTTGTTTTTCTCTCATATTCTCTTATACTCAGTAGCCACTTGTGTCTTAGTGACATTATTGCCTTACTTGGGATGAAATGATTAAAAAATCTCCTAATCCTGTTCTGCTAAGATGATATTTGCACAAATATGTTAAGTAGGTTATGCACTGTTTTCCTCTATTCCTTGTGCCTTTCATATGTCCTGTGAGTGTTAAATTTTCCAAGCCCTCTTTCCTAAATTATGTGCCCTAGATATTTCAACTGGCTCTTTTTAATTCTACACATAAGTGTCTTTTTTGTTTCCATTTTCTCTAAAACTTTGTCGTTGCTCATGTGTTTAATCCGTGATATTCTCAGCTTCCTCTGATAGGACCTCATTTCTTTTGCCTCAAGTCTCTTCTCCATCTGGGATGAGATGGTCCAGCAGTCACTGCTGATGTTACATAACATTTTTGTACTCTTAAAAAGTAAGAACTTCTATATCCTCAAAATACATATGATTGGTCAAACAATATTTGTAAGAGTTGTTAGGCTTGAAAAAAAAGAGCTTTGTTGTTTTTTTTTGCCTGGCAGTATGCATTTTGTTTGGCAATGTAAGTAACTACTGAATATGGTGGTGTCAAGCAAACTGGCCATACAAGATGATGACCCCACCCCACAAAATCGTTTTTTAAAATGTATTGAATTCATTAAATAAATTCAGTAAGCATATACTCTTTTCACTCAAATTCTTGGTTTGGTTTGGTTTGGTTTATGGCATATCAACCTGAATGGGTTATTTAATGCTGATAATATTTTTATTGATGGTAATATTATTTTTTTCAAAAGTGTATTGCTGGTAATAATTTTTTTTCTTCAAAAATGTATTGCTGGTATTTTTTTCCAAAATCTATTGCTGGTAATAATTTTTTCCAAAAATGTATTATTAGTATTAAAATGTATTTTTACACTTTCATAATGTTTAGACACCAGTTTGGGAGTTAATTATTTGCCCATAGCTGGGACCCTAACAGGTGCTACCACCACGGTTCACGGTTCAGGGTGGACTTGGGAACACCAGCAATTAAGAGGTGGTTCCACACTCCTCAAAACATCCTGATCAGAGGCCATGCTGTTGGATGTAGTTTATCGTTTTACCCAGAACACAGATGTAGTTTATCGCCTTACTCAGGGCAGCACTCAGATTTTAATGAAAAATTGTAGGGGAGATATTGTTAATTAACCATCACATACTAAAATACCTCATGAGTACAGTATTTTTGGTAGGCTATACGATAACCTGAATTACTTTTTCCTGCTAACCATCTCCTCATTCCACTGTTCTTGAATGCGATCTTTCAATGGCTTGTTGAGGCACACATGCATTTGTGTTTTTGTTCAACATCATCAAAAAAAGGAGGCAAGGCAGGGGTTAGCCTGTCATCAAAACTCTCCCATGCTAACAACTTACTATAAACCACAGGAAATAAGGTTCACATTTTATACCTGGAATATAAGATGGTCCCCTATTTTTGGTGGGGATTTTTAAGTTTAAAGGTTGTCTTGTATGCTGACATAAATGGTACTTTCTTTACTAGAAGAAACTAAGAAGATAGTTTGTATCTAATCTAATATAGCTACCAAGTGAATGGAAAATCAAAACTGAATTGATGCTTAGCAAACTTTTCAATAGGCCAAAGGTGGAAAAATCCAGGGCAAAACCCAAATTTGTGAATTCAAGATTAAGTTATTGTCAAACATACCTCAAGAGATGCTTACAGCTAACATTATATCGTGACCCAACACTTGGCTAGGGTAAGATAGGTTATTGAAAAATGGATTTCTGAAGATGCTTGCTCTCAGCAGCCATACTGGACAAAGATGATTTGGAAAATGTCTTAAACAAAACCTTTTGTAATTAATAGTAGGACAAGGTCAGATTTTGGCCAGCTACTAGTAACATGTAATCCAGTACAACCTGCCACATGGCTTCTGAACCAGCTTTCCCACTGGGGAGAAGAGTGCATGTCACCCGCACAGGATGAGAAATAAGACTTGTCAAAGGGTGGATGAACTTCTTATAAGACTCGATATTACATATGGAAAACTGAATATATTATGGAATTAAATTATATATGGAAGACTGGAAATTTTATCAAGAAACTTCAGAGTTGGGAAAAAATTGATATTTAAAAATTAAGTAATCTTTTCATATATATATATATACACACACATATATATATATATATATATATATATATATATATATATGGCTCAGATGGGGTGTCAAGCCTTGAATTGCAACCTTCCAAGAGATAGTGTTTTCAATAGAAACACTCAGTGTATTTGGTCTACTGTGAGTTGGGGTCAGGAAGAACATTTGACCTTGTAAAACTTTGTCTCATTCATTATGACAGGATCCTCTGTCAGGCAAGACCCACCTTTGTGTGAAATTATCCATGGTCTTTCTTAAAAAAAAAAAAACACAAAACAAAACACTGCTATGATGGTGAATGGTTAGAATTTTGTTTTGTTTTTGTATTCAGCACACTCAAACCTGCTCCATAAATATAATCTCTCAAAGTCTCACTGTTTATGGTCAAAGTCTCACTATTTGTGTGACTTCCTGTCTCATTTGTGATGTCACCATTATGGCAGAGTATACATGGAGCCGGTTACAGTGAGTTGAACAGTGAGAGCCAATATTTATAGGGCAGGTTGAATGCTGAAGGATTAATGCTTGCTTCATGCCACAATGTCATCTATGGTAGACTATTTGAAAATGGGGAGAGGCTTTCTAATCCCTACCTCATCTAATAAATAAAAATAAATTATTGTATTCATAAGATGAAAATTATCATTTTTCTTTATTGTAGGTCATTAATACCCACCATAAAATGCAGTATGTGTTTTTCAAATTCATCCTATGCATGGTAGTAAAGCCACTAAGACCCCAAAAGTTACTTAGTGTGGAAGAATTAGAAGCAGAAACATTACTAATGAGCATTAATTATAAAAATAAAAATCTTGTATTATAGGATTATAAAAAAAACACTATTTATTATTGGTTTCTATCTGTAATCAATTAATGCTGTTTTTTTAATGCCATGTCTCGTTTGGTTGTAAGCAATCATGACTTTCCATAGATTTTTCTTTATAATTAGTAAATTGTCATGTATTTTGGGGGAAAGATGGTGAAATGGTTTCCCATTGCTTTCTCCACTTTTTGAAATTCAGAGTTTTCTTCTCTTAGATTGATCACTACCCAAGGCAACTAGTCTAAGTCTACCCAGCTTTATTTAACCATTAACTGGTGGGGAGAAAAGACAGCTTCTTCCCTTTCTCAAAGGTATTTGTACAAAGTGGACACAATACTCACCTGGAATTTGAATATTGCTTGCCTATTCCACTTTACATACTAATATATTACACTACCAACACATGCCTAATGTCCCTGAAATGAGATGGTAGACATTACTAGGTCAACACAATTCTTGAAGTTACCATAGATCAAATGGTTTCAGTGACGTGAGAGTGATCTTATCAATTTTTTTTTCTGTTTTTATTCAGAATTATTTAAAAAAATTGTATTTTTAATATAGCAATTTTTTTTAACCAGATTTAAGAGAATTGTCTGTTATTTTTTATTTTATTTTTTTTTTTTTTTTTTATTCAGATTTACTTTACAAAATTGTATTTTTGATATTGTGATTTTAACCAAATTTAAGAGAATTTTCTGTTATTTTTCTTTTCAATTTTAAAATAGTTTTAATTTTTTTATATTTTAGGGAATGTGCTTTGACTGACTGGTCAGAGGCTGTTCAAAATGAAGAAGTGAGGAAGAAATTATGGGAAGAAAGTTTAAAGTGGACAAAAGTTTCCTTTCACAGCTGATTCTTTCACCTCAGACATTGTACCAATGGAAACTTGCTGATCTCTGAATGGATACAACTGTTGTGACATTGGAGATATTAATAAGCAGCATGCTGAATCTATTTTTTTTTTTTATATACATGTAACAAATGTTTGTCAATATGTTTTCACTTGGAGATTCTTTTCTTTCTCTTGTAGATCCCACCTCTTTTCACATAAATAATATTTTTGTTAATCACCAACTATAAACCTATTAGATCTTTCCTTAACTCTCAGAAATTAGTGGATATACTTTTTTTATCCTGTTTGTTTAATTTTTACAATTTTCAAAAAGCTATTCCCACTATTTACATTGTTTGGACTGTTGTCCTCATATTTATTGTTATATTCAAGCCATTTCGGCCATTGTACACTCCAGTCTTCTTCAGGTGATATATTTTGGAATTTTGAATCAATCTCTTTATTTCGTCCACTAAAGTCGATTGTTCTAGTTCCACATGCGTTTTCTGGATATCTCAGTTTTAGTTGTTTCCCTTTAGTATCTCAATTCTCCAAGTTTTTGTTCACCTCTGCTGTGACCAGGTATTGAACTTACAACTCTTTGGATCAAATCACTGGATTACTCCAACCAAAACTTTTATCCACTGGGCGATAACAAAACTTGAAAAGTTGAGTTACTAAAGGGAAATAACTGAAACTCAGATATCCAGAAAAGACATGGCACGTGGAACTAGAACAATCTACCCCAGTGAATGAAATAAAGTGTTCGGTTTGAAATTCCAACATATATCACCTGAAGAAGGCCAGAGTGTACAACATCCGAAATGTTGTTAATATGACAATAAAGATGAGGACAACAGTCCAAACAATGTAAATAGTGTAAATAGTTACAATACCTCATATCAGAAATATAGACAGATTTTAAAAAGCTTTTAAAAAAATTATTTAACAGCATTTTTGAAGTTGCAGATTTATAGAAATTAATATAAACATCCTGACCAGTAGATATGTGGGCCAGTTCATACGATATAAGTATTAATTGGGGTGTGGGGAGATTGATATGCTTGTAGATTACACTAGTTATTTTACATTTATATTTGAGGAATTTTCTTCTTTTTTTTTTTTTTTAAATTCAGGATTTCTTAATATCAGTTTAGGAATAAATGACTAAAAGAGAGAGGAAAAATGGCAGTCTCATCTGTTGCTTCAACATATTTGACCAATTTCGTTTTTTTTAATCTAAAGTGTTTTCTATCATTTCTCATTCATTTTGTCTGTTGTCAAGTTTAGAAAATGCTGACTGCTGTTTAGCAGAGATCAAAATGACCTCTGTGTAAAGTAAGCATTGTTTCTTCTTTTGTATAATTCAATTTACTTTGCTATTTTTTAATTTTCTAATCAGCCTTTGCATACAAATCGCTTTTCTGGTAAACTGAATTTCCCAAATGTTTTCTGAATGAAGATCCTTATTGTTTTAATTATTTTTTTCCACTTGAGTTGTGTCTAAGTGAACATGTATGGTAGATCACTTTATGACATAGATAATTGTGTAACCTGCCCTGTATTTCATGTAATTGCAAAAATTGACTGGGGAACATTTGAAGCAAAATGATGCTGAAGGATAAAAGTGTACATTCAAACTGAACTTCTTCAGTTGAGTCTGTTCACATTTCACTAACTTGGATTGTTGGTGATTAGTATTCTGGGTAATGGCTGGAGTTCCGTTTTAAGTTGCTGCCTTTTTCCACATTACCTCTAATTTAAATCTTGCTAATGAGAGCTCCCCACACTCAGATAATCAGAATTACTAAGTTATTGCCATGAGTATTTCTTTGACTGACCTTCATGTTCATATTGTTTCCAAGGTATTTTCTGATTTTTTTTGTTTTATTTTTGAGAAACTCGGGTGTCATAACTTTTTAAAAAAATATCTAAAAAGGAAACAGTCTTTGCCATTTTATAGATTATTTAAAAAAAAAAACCTGGAAAAAATATATTTACTCTTCTGTTCACTGGATGAAATTAGTTTTCAACAGATTTTGCTGTTGAAAAGGAAAAATATAAGGAACTTGATTGTCATTGTAAATTTTGTTCTGCTAATCTCAGATGCCTTATAAAATGTTTCTAATGAGTTAAGACTTCTTTAGTTTGTTTTACTTTTCTTAGTTTTTTTTTTCACATTGTTCTGTGAAAATGGAATTGCTGAGAAAAAAAAAATACAAAATACTGACTGAGTAAAAGATGTACTTTTGCTCTAAGATAAATGTTGGCTTGTGTTTTAAAACAAAACAAAAAAAACTGCTGTGCTTAAATCAAATAAATGGATTCGTATCTAACCTTTTTAAGATCATTTTTTTTTTTGTAATCATTTCACTCAAAACAAGGCAATAAAACCATTAAGACACAAGAGATTATTGATTGTGGAAGAATAAGAGAAAAAGAAAAACATTATTAAGAAGAAACAATAAAAGAACAGTAATTAAGACAAGATAACAATTGACATTGGATTTAAACTTTTGAAGATCTAAATTTTCTGGAAAGCAAGAAGCCAAAAAAAGTTCTGCAACTAAGAGGTACAATAGAAGAAACTATTAGCATAGAACTTATGGTTATATCTAGCCATTTGAACTGCAGAATGACGAGACCTAACTGTCAATCTAGTACTGTGCTTAAATTCATAAAGTTTACATACCAAAAAAAAAAAAAAGAAAGCTCAGCAGAAGAATTATTTCATATTGGCAGTTTTTTTTACTGAGTTTATTTATTTTAACACCTAATTATTAAAAAAAAATGAATTTATTAGTTAAAATGTACACATTTTACCTCTTTGGGATGTGAATGATCTGATTATATAGTATCACTTCTCTGCCTACAATGTCTACACTGTCACTTCTGGTCATTACCTAAAATAAAATGTCCTCACCTTTGTTTTTTTTTTTTTTTTAGAATCAATGCTTCTATATGTATATTAGATTCTGCCTTAAATTGAAAGAGATAAGCCCTATAAATTTTGCTCCCTATTAATAGTTAATTGTTTTTAAACAGATTTGTTGTATAAAAAGGACAAACTTATTTAAAAGTTGTTCTTCATTCTACTATTTAGCTATTTCTTGTAAGTAACATATCATTTAAATTGGAATCACTCTCTCTCTCTTTGTGCTAATACATATATATGTATATGTGTGTATATATATGTATATAACAATGAATCATTCATACAAAAAATAAATTAGTAAAGTTAATGATATAAAATGGCAAAATCCCTTCGCTAACAAAATTTTAAAGATGCATTAACCTACCAATCACTTGATGAATGTTATGATCCTTGTTTTTTTAAAATTATAAACTGTATTAGGTCTTCCTTAAATATGCAAGTACTTTCAACTGTACATTCAATCATCTTCAGGCATGGAAATTATTTTGTTTTTGGTAAAATTCAGGTGGCATTTGAGACAAATGAAGATCCTGAAGATGACAATGTACAAGTGATTGATAGGTTAATGCATCTTTAAAATTTTGTTAGTGAAGGAATTTTGACATTTTATATCATTAACTTAACTAATTTACTTTTTGTATGAATGATTCAATGTAATATAAATTGAACAGCACCACATATTTGATTTAATATATATATATATATATATATATATATATATATATATAATATGTATATATACACACACACACACACAGGCCTGTAGAGAGTTTAAAAAACAGGCATGTCTACTCAAATACATTTATCCATTAAATTTAACATTCATGTTAATGAGAAATAATGTCACATTCTAAATAAAAATCCGTGAATTCCTTAAAAGTTTCATTGTGCATATTGAAATTTCCAAAATGACTAATGTATTAGCCATTTTAAAGAATGTTGGTTTGTGCTATTGCACATGGTTTAGTGCAATGGTGATATGTAGGCTTTTAATTTAATTTAATAAGTAGGTTTTTCATTTTTTAACATAACAATTACATTTTGAATGTGTTCATATGTTGTTAAGATTTGCTTTTTTTTTTTGCTTTAACATCGACTAGAATTAAACAAATCCTACATGTACAATGTCCTAAAAATAAAAAGTGTAAATTCTTATTCACATACAAGAAAAACACAATAAAAAAAAGAAAATTTAAAATTAACAGAAGTAACTTGCCAGTCATTAACAATGAAACATATATTAGAGATTGCTGCCCAAATACAAAACATATATATATATATATATTGTATTAATGTGAGTAAAAGTTTGTCACTTAGCTAATTGATGTTACCTTCAGCATCCTGACTCCAGAGTTTCATAGGTGGGCCTGCCCGTCCACTCTTCAGCAGGTATCAGTAATTTATATATAAATAAAATTAATAGTATAACCTTTCCTTTGTGCATACGTAGTTATGTAAACATCAATTTAGTTTACTGAAGTCTTAAAGTCTTATATATACACACATGCACTAATGTTCACCCATTACACTAGGCTTGAAAGCCACTCAGTACAGAGGGTTAGTGTTATGATGAATGAAAGCGGTAGTAGGTAGCGAAAATAAGAAGGATAATGATTGATCTTTGACTTGAAGAGGTTAAGATTGTAGTGTTCCAAGAAGCATCTCTGTGGGAGTCTATTCTATAAAGTGGCAGTTCTTGGAGGAGGGATAAAGCTTTCTGAGTGGAACTTTCTCCTTAGGAAATGAAGATGAGTTGACTCTGTGGAAGTAGCATATTGTGTCTTAGTTATAAAGGTCTGAACTGCTGGAATGGCTTGAATAAACTATAGACACAGGAGAAAAAAGTGCTTATTATTAAACTAAGTGAATCACTGTATATTGTAGGTGGGGGTGGGGAACGAGTCTCTTGTCCTGAATGTCTTTGCAATCTGTTTTCTTTGCAAATAGCTGTAAATTATTCCGGAATAAGTTTTTTTCTGATGCATTTTAATTGCTTTTTCACAATTATTGTCACAAGAAACAAAATGGATCTTGAAATTGTCTACTTTTTTTTTTCCTTTTTTTCACAAATGTAAACTTAAAATTA